CGGCTGGGAGGCGGGATTTCGTGACCTAGTCAAGGCTAGACAGTGAACAGTGAGAGCATGGGCGCGGGAGAGACGCAGATGCGGCGGGGTGCGAGCGGTCGTCATCCAGCCGCCTATTCCATTGAATCAAAGGGTAAACACTCATGCTTCTTTTGAGTGCGGTGACTCGTCCACTTGCGGCACCGCACGCGGTAAATCAAGCGCCGCGCGCGAACGGTGCAAAAGGACCAACACCCGATCCGCCATTTCCCCTACAAAAGATAAAAATTTAAGAAAAATTTTACCGTTGTCAAATCGCTCTCTCATTCATTTCCTAGGTGTACCCAATTCTTGCCCATCTGGGGAACCTCTGGTCACACCAGGAACCTGGGTTATGGCAGGATGCGATCCACACAACCTGTGCCCAGCTGGTTACTACTGTAGTCAGAATGGATACGAAGGAAGAGGAATCTGCTGCCCTGGCGCAGGTAACTTGCCTTGTTACTCTTGAGCATTTACCATGGTAACCTTTCTATTTACAGGTCCAACCGTTGCACCAATGTCTTGCCCAGTTCTTCCGATAACAGCAAATCCAGTAGATGGCTCTTCATGCGTTGTGGCTTGCCGTCGGGCTACTGACTGCTCGCATTCTGTTTGCTGCTTCAATGGGTGTGGTACCAGCTGTCAATTCGAGACCGGTAAGGATCATCAGATGGGTCATTTTAGCCCAACCTACAAATTCTAGGTAAATCCTTGACCATTACCGGAGCTCCAGTTTCGGTCACTTCGACAGATACCCTAACGAAGCCTGTAGTTGTGTCTATCGATGGCAGACCACATATTCAGCCTATTTATAAGAAAATTACGACTTCAAACGTGGACGCCAAGCCTATTGATGTGGCTGTAAACAATCAACCAGTAGCACCAGCGAATGTTGTGGGAACTCGAAAGGTCAGCTAGAACCCTTCAAAGTTTAGGGGAACACAATTCAGAAGGACAATCAATTTTGTCCTTTCAGTCTTCTGCGCGTAAGTTCAATATAATAATTTTTTCAGAAGCACCCCATCGTTCCCGATCTGTCCACTTCTGCTGTAGCTGTTATTGGCAGTTCCACGGCCATAGGTGCCTTTCAGAAGAATGGTGAGCTTACATACTCCAACCTAGCTTCCCTTGAATATCCCTGATAAATTTCTTTTAGGCCCTATTTCGACCCCACAAAAAATTGGCGCATGCCCTTCAGTCCTTTTGAATCCAGGGTGTCGAGAAGAATGTTTATCCGACGCAGACTGCGCAGCTTTCTCAAAGTGCTGTAAAGCTAGCTGTGGCACAAAGTGTGTGGAGCCAACGGTGAGTCAAGATTTTTTTGGACTGAAAATTTCTGAAAAGCTCGATTATAGTGGCACTTAGAGAATATTGCAGATCACAAGTCCATGCTTACATCGACTGGCTGCTTTTAACAGGGAGTGGCCAAGCATACCTCCACCAGTGCAATGTTTACCCACTGGAGATTTCCGGGAAACGCAATGCGATTTTACGACAAAGTTGGTTTTTTACGCATATTTGTGCCGAAAAAATCACTCTTGCGAAATACGGAATATCATAAAATTAACCTATGTTAGTCTCCGTTTCCTGCAATTTTTTAATCTAATTTTGAGTGAAACATTAATGTGCGAAGTTTTCGTTTTGAGAAAATAAAATTACTAACAACAGTTGCTATGAAATAGCTGATTGTACATTTCAGTATTGCTTTTGAGATTCACCATTTTAGGCTGTTGCTTGTAGGAGTCATCATTTTAGGCAATGTTGGTGCGTGGATGATGCTGGAATCGAGATCATAGGAACGAGAACCGCTACTCATAACGAGCTTCCTTCGTGCAAAAGTTAGTCTTCTCCTATTCCGATATAAGTCTGGGCTCCAAATCGATATGAGACAAAAATGAGAATTTTCAGCTCCAAAAATATGTTCTGTAACTTGTTCTCAGTCATCTTGTACTTATGGTGTACAACTTGATGCAAATGGCTGTCCGCATGATGGTGTTTGTTTGTGCAGGAACCCTTGTGACGTAAGTGCACACAAAATAACTCATTTGTGCA